CCCCCCCCCCCAACCAGATAAAAACCAAGTGATACAAATTCCCAGAATGAACGGTACTGTTCCAGCTAAAAGATGACAAAGACAGTGAGAGAACATGAAAGTGTCCTAATGAGCATTTAGCGTAAGAAGCCTTTTTCTGGATGAGCCTCAGTGGCCTCTCCCCGCGCCACATTTCCTCAGTAAAAAGCCCCCCGTACGACTCGAGCTTTAAAAAATTCATGCTAATTCTGAATTATTCAATGATACCCCCCTGCCTCTTCATCACAGGAGACTGAGAGGAAGAGAGACAGACAGAGGTGGATGGAGTCCCATGATGATGAGGAGAGGTACGAAGGAGGGCAGAGACGGGTCAGCGAGCATTAGGGATTCTTCACTTCCCGGGCTATCCCAGTGTCAGACCCAATGAATATGCACACACACGCGCGTGCACACGCACAGAAGAGGAAACAGTAGTGGGGTTAGTCGAGGTTAAGAGGTTTGCCATCCTTCAAGAGCAGGTGAGCAGTCAGACAGATCTGTGAAGTCGAGGGGTGGAGGTATGAAGATGAAGAGGAGTGTGAACTCAAGCCCCTCGCTCCACATTTAGCAGAAGAAAAAAAAAGAAAATGACAGAGAGGAAAAAAAAGAAGTGTGTGCGCAGGAGACATAAAAGCCTGCATGTGTGTCAGTGGGTGACATAATCCAGTGGAGTGGTTAAAGAGGAGGGGGGAGGGATTAAAAAAAAAAAGAAAGTCAGTCAGCTGAGCGGGTTTTGTGAATGAAAGGTGACGGTGAGGTCGAGTTTGTTTACGCTCAGCGTTCCAGTCCCCATTAATCCTTCCCCACCACATAAACACACCCCGCCCCCATCACGCCGCTGGACAGACTCCTTCAGTGACATCACTGAGCTGTCAGTCTATATATAGGTTGGCAGGGAGTCAGCAGGGCAGTTTGTACCGAGCTGACATGAGCAGAACTCATCAACAGCAACAAGCACAAAGAAAACAGGAGCATCTGAACCGTTTTTCCACATTAGTTTCCCCAAAAACTTTAAAACCAATTTGTGTGACCGTGTCTATTATCCATCCTTTTCTAAATGTGCAGAATGTTTCCCTTCTTATATTAAAGACATCAGATTTAAAGTTCTGAATGTCGTGAGGCTTTCAGATGAGAGCAACTAATACATTCAGTACATTTACTGTACTTAAAAAACTAAAAACTGCAGCAAAACCAACTTRGCTTCTGTCAGGTTCTACTTCATATGAATTGAGGCTAAATACTACATTTACATTCATTTTAAATCTGGGATCAAGTCAAGCAGGGAGCACCTCAGCAGGGGTAATCCTGGTCCTCCAGAGCTGATATCCTGCAGGTTTTACTTGTTTCTCTGCTCCAGCACACCTGGTTCAGTGATTAAATTTACCTCTTCAAGTTCTGCAGACGCCTTTCAATCAACCATTCATTCAAATCAGGTGTGTTGGAGCAAAGGAACCCAGAAAACATGCAGGACAGTGATCCACGAGGACCAGGACTGGACACTAAGAATGAAAAGTGCCTTTTTTTGTTTCAAATTAAACACAAAAATAAGTCTATAAATTGTAGGAAAGATTCACAAAAGAAGCTTATCTGAGGGCTTTTCTGTCTCCATTTGTGTATTTGCAACAGTAAAACAGATTTTACATCTAAAATGGCTTCAGTATCATTTTAGCAGAAATAAGAGTCCTGGGCTCGTGTTTATCAAACTTCTTAGAGTGGATTTTTAGACTTAAGTGCTGAAAATTTCTTAGATTTGCTCCTACTCTCAGACTTAAGTGTAAAAGTAAGTTATCAAAATTCTTAAGTCAAAGAACCACTCTTACTCTCCCAAAAAGTTAAGACTGCTCCAGAGGACTCTTAAGAGGTTTAGAGTTGCCACTAGGGGTCTGAGATGGACTGAGGAGACAGAGATCACACCTGTGTCCTCCTCAAGAATACTCTGCACCACCTCAGAAATGGCACTAAGTGGTCTGGGGGTCTCCCACCTAAGTGTGATTTACGTTTACAATGTACAGTGGAACTAAAATAAGGTTACGAATGAGAATAATGTTGGACATTTCTGTAAAGCTTTTGGAGAGCCGACCCCAAGGTGGGATTGAACTTTTATTATGTTTTCTTTCTTTAACTCAAACTTTATGAAATCTGTTAATTTCATAAAAGAAAAGAAAAGAAAAAAAATCCTTAGTGTGTGTTTGAAGGGGGAGAGGAGGAAGGTGCAAACTCAATATGTCCTCAGGCTCCGAGACGTTAAAAAAAACATTCAAGCTGCAGTTTTTTTAAATAATRCGCAAGATTTTCTTTATTCGTGATGTATTTTATTTGATGTTATTTATGACAATCAGTACAACGTGACACGTTTTGACATTGCTGTGACGTGATTGTGTCGAATGTGAACTTATCAGAGGATTTTCACAATTCTATCTTGACATTTCTCTGAGAATCTTCTTAAACGTGAAATCCGAGGCAGTGATTGGTCCATGCCGTGGGTTTTGTAACGACATCATCCAGGATCAGCTTTGCGGCACAGCAAAGTGTGGTAAATGAACTCTACGACTGACACTTAAGATTTYCTCTGACACTTCCCTTAAAGTCAGAGTGAGATGCCTGATAAGTGAAATTCAGGCTCAGCTTTTAGCTAAGAATTTTTTTTACACTTAAGTCCATTCTTAACAGCATTCTGAAGAGTAATTCTAAGAAGTTTGATAAATATGGGCCCTGTTCTTACTAGGGCTGCACAATWTCAGGAAAACCTGTGGTTTATCAATGAAACAACAAACTGCATGCATACAGTTTAATGACTTTTAAACATCTACCTCATTAAACATTTTCTGATGCTCTAAATACTGAAAAACCTCCATACTATCAATTTTTTAAAATAAATACTAAAAACATCTGAAAATAGATAAATGGATTTAAACTAAAAGTTAACAAATTAAAATCCAACCGCAAATTCTTTCTGTGCAGTTGTCCAACAAGTGGTTCTGATTTGATGGTGTCAACTTTATTTCTCAGACTGATGCTGACAAAATGCATTAATGTAAACAGAGTTAAACATTTATTGCAGTTGATGCAGTTTTTTGCGATATGCCTATTGCACAGGCTGTTTTTGCGATGATGATATATTGTTGATCTATTGTGCAGCCCTAGTTCTTCCTGTATGCAGACCGCCTGATCTGTCAGGGGGGCTTCCTTCAAGTGTTGCACAAAYAGCAGCTTAGAGTTGAGGTTGAGAACTGGACTGGCACGTTAGCAACTTCCTGTGTAAATTCAGTGAAACTTAGATCCTCTTGAATCGACGAGAAGAGCCTGAATTATAAATGATAATGTGCTGCGAGAGAGTTGGAAGATGAGATTTCTGTAAATCTGTGTCATCTGTGTATGTGTGCACGTGGCAGACCCTCTCCTCCGCCCTCCAGGAAAAGCAATCTGCAGTGTCTCAGGTAGGTGAGGAGCTCCGGTGTCCTGTTTAAAAGCAAGGTTCACTTTCCTCATCTCCTCTGCAAATTAGTGACGCGACCTTACCTCTCCGTTCGCACCGAAGCTCCCTCACTTCATAATAGTGCGCAGATGTGTGAAACGAGTGGCGCGCAAACAAAAAGCACCTTTTGTGCTGCAAAATAATATTACTTAACCTCCTCGCGCTGTAATCAAATAAAGGCGAGTCTCAGGTTGGAAGTGCAAGGAGTGGTTGGAACATAATTCACCTCTATTAAACTATGAATCATCCCATCAAAACAGATCATTTTCACTCTTTTCTCTTGGGTTTTAAATAGGGGTAATGTATTTGTGCAGTTTTATTTCCTGCTATTTTTATCTTGAACTGAAGAATAAATCTAATTTAAAGGGGACATATCATGCAAAATCCAACTTTTTAGCTGCTAAACCCATTTTGTTGTGGACTTGGAGTCTGTAGGAGTGCAGAAAAGTTAAATTTATTTTCTCCCAGTGCTGCAAAGATATCTTTATGTTCTGTTTGGGTCGTACTTTTCAACTCGTTCATTCAACTATTACATCACAGTATTTGCGAGGGAACTTCTAAATAAGGTCTGGACTTACCAACTACTATTTGGTGGTCTTCATTGTCCTCAGGCTCTGGGTCAAACTCTGACTCTAACATGTAAGGCTGGATGGACAAGTCTTCTGTTGTTGACATCTTTTAATTCATTTGCAAATAAAAAGTTTCTGTGCAGCTATTTAGTCGTAAACCCCTCTATGAAGCTACAACAGGTTGGTCTGGAAGCTAGACAGGGGTGGGGTGTGAAGCGTCTCATTTGGATTTAAAGAGACAGCCTCAAAATATGTTGATCTGAGACGCGGCTCAGAAAATGGGTGAAAGAGGGGCTTGTGGAGTTACAATAAGGAGGAATTCAGATGAAACCATTGCAGTTCCACTTCATATAGAAAGATTTAAATCAGGATACGTCTCCTTTAAGACTCATTCTTCATGTCACTGAGGAGTTTGGAGTTTCAGATTATAGAGAATTTGTTTAAATTCATGAATCATGATGAATCATTTTCAAGTAAGACGTCTGAATTGATCAACAGCATTTGTTCATGTTGCTGACAGACGAGCGAGCCATAAAAAAAAAATGTAGAAGAATGAAGAAAGAGAGAGAAGCGTACCAGGTGAGGGCGGCTGGATCTTGACCTGCTTCCTGTTGTCCACTTCGGTCACGCTGCTGCCACTGTTGCTGTCTGCRGGCGGCTCCTCTCCTCTCTCCATCTTACACTCGTAGGCGAACAGGAACTGGATGTACTGCTTCTTCAGCGTGCTGGCCGAGCTGCTGGACGTGCCGACGTTCAGGGTGCCGGAGAGCTCGCGCCACTTCTTGTTCTTATTCACCTGAAGCACACACACACACACACAGAGAATCCAGAATGAGATTATAGCATCAGTCACCTGACCCCTGTCGTTTTTAGCTTCTGTGAGGATTTTATGACACTTTTAGCTATATTTTTGGTGCTTTTATCTAATGTTTTGCTACTTTTGGCTTTAATAACTCATCTTTTTCAGCAACTTTCAACAACCCCATTCAAAACTCAGTGTTTTCACAGGAAACACAATTTTTCGAGTTTTCATTTTGTGGTTGGAATATAAAGGCAAAACAGAATTAAGCTACATTAAAAGCTTAACATTAAAAAGTTAATTTTTTTTACTAGCAACCTACTTTTATTCTTGAGCACTTTTTGTCTGGTTTGAAGCTCTACTTTCAGGGAGAAAAACTTCTACACATTTCAGAAAACAATTTTTCTTTAAGGGTGGAATCGATTCATACAAATATATAAATATGTTTTMTTTTTTTTTTTTGCTGTGAAATAAATGGACCTACTCGCACCTTTGGGGTGAAAACGCCGCCCCGCACACGACCCAGGGTTTATTGAACTACAACTCCCTGCAGCTCAGTAGATAAAAATCTTGTGTGAAGTCCATGTGGAGCCACAGGAGCGCTCGTGCTTTTCTCTGTACCGTTGTCCACTTGGAAGACTATATTTAAAACTTTTTCCCTTTTTATAAAAAAAACACGTGAGCTCAGATCTGAGAGTAGGCTGTTCAGAATTAATTTATGTACCTCTTTCTTTCGAGTACATCTCTTAACATTTACAAGTGCGCCACATGCCATTTAGCCAGAGAGCACGCTGCTGGAGAATACTAAAAAAAGCATGTTGAAATGATAAAAGGGAGGTGACTCTGCTACACAAGAAGTAAATTAGTTGCTATTTTAAGGACTGCGCCGTGTCTTTTACATCTACTTCGACCCTTGTTCTCCGTGCGTTACCATCGCGAGGCCTCCTATCTCCCGAACAGCCATGTAGAGCCTCCACAGGTCCAGTGGTTTCTTGCCCATGGTTGGAAGCTGAGAAACAGGGGTGCCCCGCTCCTCCATGAAGGTCAGGTAGCGCTCCACCCAAGCTCGTCTCTCGGGCTCAGCTCCCAGCTCGTACAGCCGGCTGACTCGCTCGCCGCCGCCGACGGAGGAGTTTGGGTTGACTTTCTGTTGAGGACAGATGATTAAAAAAAAACGCTGAGTCGTAGAGGAGAGAGGTAGTAGTAACACAATATGCAGTTTTTTTCCCTCCCTGTTGCTGCTACAACAACCCACTCACCCAGTCATTAAAAATTCATCTGTTATTTATACAGCGTGAACGGCCAAATGACTGAGGAAAAAATAAACACGTCTTCAGAGCATTTTGTTCAGAGCACGGCTCGTGTTTCAGCACATTTACACGCCTTTAAATTCAAACTGGTGACCAAAGGTTAACCCTAAACAATGTTTGGCTTTAATTCAGGTTCAGAACACAATTTAGATCAGAGAAACACTTTGGATCAAGGGTTTACACGCATAATAAAAGTTTTATGTAAAACTATTATTTTCTGTATTTATCCAGGAGAAAAGCATCACACAAACAAACCCAGTTTCTGGTTCTTACAGGGCTGGAGGGGGTCTTGAGAGGCCAAGGTGGGCTGCTGATGCTGTCGCTGTCATCGCCGTGGTATGAAGAGAGGCTGGCGGGGCTGGGGGAGAGCGGGGAGGGCATGGGCAGGGTGCCGCCCGGAGTGGCCGGCTGGGACACGCTGCTGCTGTTGTTGTTCATGTAGCTGTCCTGAAGCTGCTGAAATGACATCAGAGACATTTCAGTTTGGAGAAATATTTCATTTTATTTATACTCTGCTGCTGCTACTGCTGCTCACCACTATGTACTGCATATAATGCACGTAAAACACTGCTTTTAAAACATAATGCACGTAAAACACTGCATTTAAAACATAATGCAGCAGAAAACACTGCATTTAAAACATAATGCAACAGAAAACAGTGCTGTGCCAGAGATCTGAAAAACACCAGTGTTAGCAAAATATAAAAATATGTAAAACTTAAAAATGTAAACTAAACACAGTTCAGAAAACACTTTAAATGTTTGAAATTAGCTTCTTTATTGATCTTTAAAAATATACGACTTTGATGCTTGAGACTCATTTTAAAGTTTGGAAAATGGGGGAATTTATAGATGATATTTTCCAACTTTAAATTTAAGATATTTGTAGTTTATTCTTTACTATTTTTATGTCTGAAACTATGAATGCTGTCTGGCTGAGCTAAATTCTCAAATCCTTACAATATTTGATTTAGCTCATTAATAAAAATTTCTCTGTCATTTTACTAAAAAATGAGCATTTGAATTTCAACATTAACTAATAAAATCAGTTATTTCCAGTATTAATTTGTCGTTTTTGTACCATTTTCAGTGAATGCAAGTTATACATTTCAGTTTTAACTCTTTTTAAGAAGAAAACTAGGCTGTCCAAGACTTTATGYTAAAAGCTGATCATAAATAACTTCCTCAGTGATTTTTATATCTATATTTTTATAAAGTATGTTACGCAACAGCTTCTTATATCTCAGCATGAGCATGCGGGTTTTCATTATGTGTGAGTACAGCTTTTAATAAGAATGCTCACAGTAGTTGTTACTGTGAATTAGAGCAGATTGTGTTGAAGGAACGTATCAATTTGTCTGAATAGGAGATTTAACATAAATGCAAATCAAACTGATATAAACTCCACTTTGTGTGAATCGCTCTGTGCTCATAAACATCAGTGTGTGTGAACGTGTGTGTGTGTGTGTGTAAGAAGCAGCAAAAGAGGGAACAACAGCTTGACAAGTGCTTCTAGTCTGTGTGCAGAATGCTCATGTCAGCAAAACCTTATCTTTCTGGGCCTCTCCGTGGCTGTCTCTGTGTCTGAATCTCTAACTCGTTTTCTCTTTCTTGGCAGACAGATCATCTCTTTGGGGAGCACTGGGGGTCTTTCTGGCTGCTCGGGCTGCCTTAAATAATTCAAAAGGCCCTACTACCGTAATCAGCAAAAGAAAAGACAGGGATTTGGAGGGAAAAGCCGTGTAGTGGTTGTGATGGAGGCGTGAGTACATGTGTGTGTGCAGAAACAAAGGGGAGGGGAGGGGGGGGGGAAGTGCAAAGAGCAGAGTTTTGTTGTTGCTGAGCTACTATAGTAGGTCAAAATGAGAAGTCAGCATTGTTTGTGAGACGCGTAAACGAGGTACAGAGGAAGAGCTGTGCACGTTGTGGAACTCAGTCGCAGAGTGTCTTCATGTGCACAATATGTTCTGTGTGTCTGCGTTGCGTTGCGCTGCGCTGCAGAAGCCAAGCCCTCTGTTTTCTCTTTCTGTCTTCACTGCAGCTCGAGCTGCTGAAACATCAGCAGGCAGAGAGGGCTGCGGGCGAGCACGAAGCCGGAGAAACATTAAGAGCGGTAAATTGCTAAACAAATCATTAAATATGGGGAGAAAACAGCAGACACAGGCAGATCAGATCTGACTTCATTCATGTAGATAAAAAAATTTAAAAAATGGGCGAGAATTTCTCCAAGGATTGAATTTCACCTGCGGCCTTTCACCCCAGAGATTCAGACAAAGACGATCTTATGTTGACAGAGTTTTAATTGATTTGTTCAAACCTTAAAAACAGCATGTGGTGCAACCATGTAATGCTAAAAGATGTCACAGAGTTTGTGTTTTTGAAAGACTCGTCAACCACCACATTCATTTTAACTCAATATCTGTAAAGCTGATGGAGCTATGGCCATTTCTGTGACCTCTAACGTTAGCCGTGACGTGGAATAACCCCAGACATTTGTCAGCTGTCAAAAAACATCCGATACTTTATATTTCATAACCTGTTTGAGAGATTTTATGATACTTTTTAGAAGTTTCATAAAATCTCTCAAACAGTTTATGAAATATTTTGCTAACAGTCGGACAGAACTGCTTCTAAACTCGGTATCTAATGTCAAAATTGTAAACAGATTTGATGCAAGCTGTTAGCTCTTAGAATAGTTATTGTGCATCAGTGTCAGCTGTACTAAATGTTTGATCAATATCTTTAAAATTGACAGATTTATTGCCATTTATGTTTTTTTTAGGTCAGCTGGCTGTGGCAGCCATCTTGAATCAGGTTAACTCCAAAAGGTAACTAGCTGTAAATAAACATCGAACGAAAACTTTGTGTGAGTTTCATTAAAATTCATCCAATGGTTCATGAGATATTTCACTAACAGACACACACGCACTGGCATAAATACTACCAGCTGCTTTTTGTGTTGCACAATAAATAACGAGGTAGCAAAAGATGGTACCTTTGGTTTGTGTGGCTCGTTGTTGTTGCTGCCATCGTCTTTGACGTCTAACTTTAGTTTTCCATCCGGGCTCATTACGCCATCTCCTGAGAGTCCTGACAGGGGAAAAATAAAAAATAAAAATTACAAAATCCATTCGTGCAATATTTTTGCAAAAGTTTCACACAGAATAAGATTTTTGTCTTAAGCTGAAAATTAAAATCATTCAGCATGTTTTGAGTAAAGTGAAACAAATTGGAGTTGTACATTTAAAACATATGCATTCAGAGCAGCACAGACGTAAACATTCACCTTTTTAACCATCTAAATCCCGAGTGCTTTCATTGTTTGAGAGAAAACCTGTGCAACATTGAGATGTACAGCTTTATTGAAAAAAAGTCACAACATTTCTCTGCTGAGATATTTTCTTTCTGCTCTCTCAAGGTCTCTTTATGACCGTCCGACTGTTCGTCTCAAACGCAGCGTTGAAAACATCGCCTTCGTGAAAGACGGACACAAAGAACTCCAATTAAAGCAAACTGAGCTGCTGTAGTCTCATAGMTTTGTAGGAAACATCTACACTTTCACAAATTCAAAAAGATGATGAAATAACCGATTAGCATTGAAAAGAACCTGGCAGCTGACATTATGCTTCCATTTGAAGAATTCAAATCCTACTTTTCACAGTGTCACCTGCATATTTCTTTAGAACAAATAAAGTGTCCTTAATGCAAGGCTAGGCTTAAGGTTGGCCTTTTTTTATTCTTCTGTTGTGTGCTGAAGTTAAATATGAAAAATAAAGACTTTTCATCCTTTTGACAATATAGTTGGCAATTTCTTTTTATGTTGAGCATTTTGGACTTCAGATCTTAGTTTCCTTTGTCAGTGGGACTTGCAATTTTCTTTGATGTAAAATTCTGCTAATATGGGCTTAAAACACATGAAATAATAATAAAAAATAATAATACTCCATAAATGAAAATATTAGCTATCAGCATTGAAAAGGAATTTTCCTCTCTTAGCAAAAAGTAGTACATGCAGTTTTATTTAAGTGTACTAATTTTAAACTAAAAACTAACTAACTAAATAATAATAATAATAATAATAATAATAAAAGAGTATACTTCCAGTTTACTTTTTTTGCACTTATCTGAGATATACTTAACCAAGTTTATCTTTCACTATACTTGGCTTTTAATAAAGGTGTACTAAAAGTTAAAGTATACTTAGTCTATTCTAATGCTTAAACATTAAGCCAAGATAAACTTTAGTAGTACACTGAAAGTACAGATACTGTACTGTACTGTTGTCCTCCATCCATATTTTCAGTTCCAGGCTGAGTCATTTCTACCTTCTCCTCTCTGTCAACGCTCTCTGGTTTCATTTAAAAGAGRCGATCATCAGATATTGTCCAAGATTAACCTTCAGGGTGGATATAGCTCGCTCACACCGGTGACTTATCCACATCAGCATTTACCCAGAATGCTTTGTGTAAAATAAAATGGCTCCGTCCGTGTTAAAATATAAAATTTACAAAACTAAACAMCCTACAGTATTTTTACWGTKTTTATTTTACAGTTAAAATATATGTTTATCAAATAAAGTCTAATGTTACAACTAATCAGGGYTCCCTTTAAACAGCTCTGCTGGTTTGCATTAGTTCGGTACCTGAAGGAGGGATGTTGTAGGCCGGAGCTTGTCCGTTCCCTGTGGCTGAACTGTTGTTGCTCGTTGACTGACTGTAGGAGACGGTGCTCCCCTGGTTGATGCCGAGGCCTTGGTAGRTTCCCTGCCTAACACACACAGAGCAGAACAATGTTATCAGATCTATGAGACATGAATGAAGTTAGAGCCACCATGTAACGACAGACTGTGGAGAGAAGCTGGTAACAGTGAAAGCTGCAGAAGAACAGAAGTCATAATGACAGAGATGATTGTTGGCAGTCTGTCGCTGCCATCCTCTCTTACTTATTCTGAAGGAAAAAACAAATAAAAAAAGAAGCATGTACTTCATGAAAGCCACGCTAAAAAGACACAGCACATCCCTGATCAAACAAACAGCTCTTCTAAATAATTCAGGATAAGCACATAGCATCTAAAATCAAAAACAAACAAGTAATAAAAAAAAAACTTTTCTTCTTTTTTTCTTCTACTAATCCCACCTCCCTCTCTCTTCCCTCTCGTCCTCCCTCTTCTTATCCCACAAGTCATAATTTAACTAATTAAGGTGTGCTTTTGGAGAAGATCTTGTTATTTGTTGCCATGGTGGCGGCGGAAATCAATGCCGCTCGCTCAGCCTCCCTTCTCCATCTCTGGCAGCTCATCACATGGTGTTGCAAGTGACATCAGAGGGGGCTTATCTGCAACCTGCTGAATACTAGCCATCCGTGTGTGTTTGTGTGTGTATATGTGCTTGTTTTGACTACAGAGTGAGGACCATATGCGCCATAGTTACTATCAAAGGACCTCTTCAATGTCCTCGCTTTCTTTGCAGCTCTGCTGTGCTTTAGTTAAGTTTAGAGGTATGGTGTGAACTAAGTTTTGGTTCAGGTTAGTGTTAACTATAGACAAGTAATGGTTAGTTTTAAGGAAAATGTCTGATTTAGGCATAAATAGTTACAAAAATGAATGGAAGTCAATACAATGTCCTCAGTTTGATTCAAATACAAGGACGTGTGTGTGAGACTAAAAGCAGAGTATAGCTTTGCATGGCAGACAGGCCAAGCCTATGACATGAAAGCTGAAAGGTAACACCATGTTTGGAACCATTAGGTCCATCTTCTAATGATTACCACCAGGACAACCGTGGGAGAAATCAAAAGGTACAAAATGGAAAAATAAAAGGTCTGACACAATAATACAGTCAGGAAATAAAAGGATGCAAAGTGACTGTGTGTTAAAGGAATAAATGAAGGAGGCAGAACATGTCAGGACACAGAGGGGGATGCTGAGCCGTTTGTGTGATATACACGTCAGTCAATACCGGCCTAACTGGCATCAGTCTTTCCTTTTCCACACATCATATAATACCACGTGTTGGAAGCGATGCACATAGCCTGAGAGGAGGGATCGGCTTGGTAAACCTCCCCATAATCTCATCTCACAGATGTAATTAGTCATAGAGCACGGCTGATGATACATATGTAATCCCTCTATGGGGGCTGAGGTGCACGGGGGAGCGCCACGGTGAAGAAACACAAAATCCACGCTTATCTGTCCCCATTTCCCGTCAAAGAACGGGGGGAAATATAGACTCCTTCAATGCTGCCTACGTGTTCCCTAAAAAGTCCCTGCATGAGTCAAGAGGCAGAAATAAATTCACTTTTTGATCGTGGCACCTTTTTAACTGAGTCAGAAATGGGTTCTGCATGCAGACACAAAGAGTACCATCAGAAGAAACTTGTCCATACTGTAAAAAATAACAACAATAATAAGAACGTCCCTCACCCCTCATCCACCTTAAGCAACAGACGCACAAACTCTCATGTGAATACAGAAAAATCCAAATCAACAACAGCATCGGTTGGTGTTTTTCGACTGTGGCGCTCTCCCATTATGACTAATTCATGTCATAAAAAAGCCCATTAGAAAGCACTTGATGGAGGCGCTGCACAGCGTTTAATCACACTTAATATATGCATGTGCCGCTATCAGGGCTATGGGGGTGGGAGGAGTGGGGG